CCCCAAAACCCCAAAACCCCAAAACCCCAAAACCCCATATGAACTCTATCGTATTGAAAGTTATACAGTAATTTTAACCTTGCTTTTGATTTCTTCTTCAAAGATCTCCTTGAGTTTTTCTATTGCCATAAGTATTTCGATATCAGATTTCTCTCTGCTGTTAAATTCCTGTTTACAAAGTGCCTTAAGCTCATTAATCTGCTTAGCCACGATAGATTTGGCTTTACTGACCTCTGTATAGACTTTTTCCTCATTAAGCTCCTTTAAAATCTGGTCTTTGAGGGCTTCATAGTCCTTCTCTCTATATCAAATTCTTCATTTAAGCATACCGGTCTTGTACAAATTCCTTCTTGACCTTCTCGAAGTTACTCTTGAGTTTGTCTACTTTGACGAAATCGCTTTCGTAGTCATTACCTTTTTCTTTTTGCTCCTGAAGAGTTTTTCTGAAATTAAAGTTTTCTTTCTCAAATTTCTCCTTGTTTTCTTCAATGACTACAGGGTGAAGGAAGCCTTACCATTGGAAACCTCAATCTTTAGCCTAGCTGATCTATAGATTAGGGAGGTCAAACCTGGAGACTAGATCGGAAAGTCGGCTCTCGAAAAGTCCCAGCTGAAGCTGGGACTTGGTCAGAGTCGCCACTGAAGGATCTGTGCAGGAGTCTTTATCTGATGGCTAGAGATGAGCAAGGAGCAGTACTTTTAATGAATATTTCTCTAGCAGAGCTGCAGCTAAATGTAAGATTAAGAGTTAGAATCTGATGCACATTGCTTATTAAAATTGAGATTTAACACATCTAAAGCAGATAAAAATTGTGCAACTCCCACAAATATTAAAACTCGGATCTAAAGCCCCAAAAATTTATCGCAAGGACACATCCCACTCCCTCTCTTAACTCCTTCCTGCCCACATCTTAAGCATGTCCTTACTCTTAGCTTCTATAATCTTGGAGAAGTACCTCTCCTGTTGTATTCTTTCTTCTGTCTCTGCATCCATTCTCTGTTTAATTTTCTGAATTATAAATCAAATGTTTCTCTGTGCTTCTTATTCTCGAGTAATTTCTTCTTCTCCATATTCTGGGTGAATCTTTGTTCGATAGTGCCTAAGAGTTATGTAGAGAGGTACCTAGATTGCCTTGGAGGTCGGTAAGGGCTTTTGATAGGAGATTTGACTCTTTTTCTTCCATTTATAGAATTTGATTTTGAATATAATGATGAGAGGGGTTTTGGGGTTTTGGGGTTTTGGGGTTTTGGGG